GCACACAATTTAAATAACAAATAATTCAAGTAACAATTAAACAAATAGCTAAATAATCAAATAATGAATTTAAAAATGCAATAAAACCATAAAATAACTACCAAGACTATTCTTTTAAAATTAGAGATATTACATGAATGATGACATATGGAGGGTGGAGATTCACCCACTTGTTGACCTAGTATTGGTGCACTTGTTGGCTTAGATTACTAACAAGTGTAGACTTTAGATTAAGCCTAAAATGAATCATTCGATTAATGATAAGTGTAGGTTCCTAATTAAAGTCTAACTTTTGTGTGTGTGTAGGTATAGTGCAAGATTATGTGTAATTGACTTACTTTGACCAAGTGAGTGGAGGATTACACCAAAGGGAATTAATATTTCATTTTTACATCATTTTAATTTCATCATCTTCCTCACATAAAACCTTAGCCACCATTGAAGGAAACCATTAACCTAGGCTTAAAACCTTGGTTTTGATTTCCTTCTACTCATCTTTGACTAAAAAGCTTGGAACACAAAATACTTACCTCACCTTTCTCTATATAACTCTTTTAAAATTCCTTTGTTTGCTTTGGATTCAAGAGGAACAATCCTCTTGTGATCGAGTTAGGGGGTGATTTATGTTTTTAATTTAGGTGTTTTAGTTGTTTTTGTGGCCTACTATAAATTGTTTACATATCTTTTACTTAATTTTTAAATTAATAGGTTGTTGTACCTTGTATGGAATTAAGCTAGGACATGATATTCTTGAAGGCCATGTCTTGATCTATAACTTAATATGAAGTTAATTGGAGTAGTTTTAAAATCTAGATATTTAATCATTTTAATTTAATTATTTTTATTTAATTGCTCCAATGACTTGTTTAAGTTTCTAACTAGATATTGTTGATTATCTTGGCAAGTTCTTTCATATATATTAAATAGAGACTATTTGAATGAGTTTTCAGAAATTTATTTAATTATTTTCTTGATATTGATCTTAATTTACCTCATTGTAACTAAAGTAGAATTGGCTTGTAACTTGAAATTAAATTAGACCTTGCTATGACCTTTGACATATATTATATTTAAAATTTTTAGAGTTGCTTTGTAATCTTAAGAATTTAATTATTTAATTTAATTAAGTTCCATTTGTATGCTTTCATTGAGGTAATTAAGTATTGATGTTATATTCTTGCTTAATTTATAATTTGTTTAATTTAAGTATTGATGTTATATTCTTGATTACAAGATGGTATTTCATGAGTAGAAGTTATGATTTAATTTGTTGTATACATATTATACTTATATGACATTTAATATGCCGTTGTAGCTTGAAGGCCTAGAGCGCATCTTGTGTGTATTCCATGACTTGGTTGTGCATGGTAATTGACAATGTGCATTTTGTATATGTGATATACTTGTTGCACAACTTGATGATTTTTGGAAAGCTTGTATGGACATTGTAATATGTTAAGGCTAGAGTATGTCTCTAGTACGGGGGATGAAAGTTCCCTCTACAACATATAGTGTGCACTAGGTAGTTTCTTAAGGGCTAGTAACCCGAGATCACTTGTTTGGTCATTGAGACCATATGTCCTTTGTCTTTCCGCCATTGGTTGATTTCGCATTCAATTCCTAATTGTAATTGTGAAATTACTTTTAACTTGTGCTTGGATGCATGGTACTTCATTTCTCGCTTAGTATACTTGTATTTATATACTTGTACGCCTTGTATATCAAAAATGCTTTGTATACTTGGATTTGTATACTTGTACGTCATGTATGTCAACATTGCTTAGTACACTTAGAAATGTATACTTGAATATATATGTTGTATTCTATTCCAATATTGCTTAGCGCACTTGGTATGTATACTTGTATATTGATGATTTACTTTTTAGATAACCTAGTATACTTGTGTCTTGTATACTTGTCTTAAGTGCATTCCAATATTTATTGTATACTTGTGTACGTATACTTGTATATTGAATATTTTGTTACGTGTACTGCATGCTTCTATGTTGCCTAAATTGCAAGAATGATGTGGTTTATACTAGAAATGTTTTAAGGTAGCTTAGGATGCTCTTTGAGTCTCACCTTGGACATAGACGCTAGGTGACATGGACCTTATATATTGATTTATATCAACTTAATGAACAGTAAAATGTTAAGTCTATGAATGCTTATCTCATACGAGTAACTTGTTTACTCACTCCAAAGTTATTGGGTTATTTTCAGGTACGGATACCTTGATTCGGGATGCATAATATCCCTAGGTCGTTTCGTTGGATTGAAGTTTTTTTAAATATATTCTTATTCATATGCAAGTGTTAGCATGTTTGAGTTTTACTTTTCAAGTTATAATGTATAGTTAGGTTAAAAATGTCATTTTTACCTTGAGACTTATAATGTGTGCCTAAGCATACTTTTTGATACTCATTTTATGTATATGAAATATGGTCAAGGGCCAAACTTTATTTGGAATCCATGTTTATTGATAAATGTTGAAATTTGCCTTTAATGTGAATAATATGAAAATCATTGTCTTAGCATGTCATTTTTGCACCGGAGTGTACTTTAGGTATGAAATTCATTATTTGACCTTTATTTAATATGTATGAGATGAGGCCATAGGCCAATGACATTTAATTTGTATTCTATGCATTTTCACTTTCAAGGTTTATTATGAAAAAAATAGAAAAATGACAAGTCATTGCTTCACCATGTTTGTATCGGGTGTGGGAATTCCATTTTTATTCTTTCATAGGGTCTCATTAATCATGTATGAAGTGTGGCTAATGGCCAAACGGTAATTTGAAATCATTTGTTTATTTTGGTTTTCAAATTTTCCATTTCTAGTTCACTTTAGCCATTTTTGGCCATCGGGGGGGTCATATTTTGCATCGGCCTTTTTCAGGAGCCGCGAACCATTCCCGCAAGCCCAAAATCATTGTTTACATTTGCATGCATGATCGTTTTCAGGTTTAGAGTCATATTTCACAAAATGAGCATTCTACGGATTTATTTTTGACGTTTTCTGCACAATCTGATTTAGGGGCATTCTGGACATTTCATAACAGTTTTATTTTTTTCTTTCAATGTGGTCGGGTGGAAAACGTAATTTTAGGGGGGTTTCTTCTTCGTGTTTTTCTAGAAAATGTCGTCTTGGTACCGGAAATCCCTTGCGAAGTTCAGTTTTCTATTATGCATGTAGTAGCTTTTTAACCCTCTTGACCTATGCTGATCTAAGGGCATTTTAGAGATTTTGCAGCGTGTTTTTATCATTTTCTTTCGCGAAACCGGGTAGAAAACTTGATTTTAGAGGGGGTTTCTTCTTTAAGTTTTTCCAAAAAAAGCCTATTTCAATGCTCGTTTTTGCTCTCAGTTGCAGGAGCAGTGGGCTGACAACAACAGTAGCTGTCATGGCTCTTCGTCGGGCCGCTACGACATCATTTCTTCTTTTGGGCTTTTCTACCTCGTCCAGACTCCGAATGGGCTAATTCTTTTTTTGAATCTTATTATTTTTTTGTATTCTATCCAACGGTGTACTCGGTTGCACCTGAATATTTCTGGATAATTACCAGTTTAACCTTTTAGTTTTATTTTCTCGTTTTTCTTTGTTTTGCCGTTTCGTCTTCGTCTGGATTTCGAATCATGCGATTCTTGAGTCCATCTTGATTATTTTTTTGCTATCTTTCTAGTGGTGTGCTCAGTAACACTCGATTTTATATTTTCAGAAACGACCATTTGGCCCTTCGAGCTAAATTTGTTCGGTTTTCTTTTAATCTGCTTCCGCTACTTCTTTTGAGTTCTGTGACTTCATGGGAAGTTACGGATGTGTCTTAGGAATGATGTACATTCTTAGGGACGTTTCTTCCATGTGAATAGACTAATTTGCCCTTGGAGGCCTGTTCGGTCTTTTTCTGATCATTCGATTCCGCATTGTTCTCGTTGAGATCCGTGGCCTCATGGAAGGTCACTCTGGCTTCTTAGAGGTGCATTGCATACGACCCTGGTTTTTTTAAGCGAGTGCGTCATGTGATGAATCGAACTATGACCCGATAACTTAGAATGGATCGAATCAGATGATTTTGTGATCAAATGATTCATTTTTTATTTTTATTTTAAAGATTAAATCATTGTTGATAATTAATTGGGATTGAAATCTCGAACCAACAAAATCGTGATAATTTAACACGATATTTAATACACATGTTTGGTTTTATTAATAAAAAATATAATTTATTATTTCCCATCATAATACAAATATAAGAAAAGAAAAAAGGTTTAAAATTGTAGAATCAAATCGATCCAAACCAATTATTTCTGGTTTGGGTAAGGATTTATTAATTCAAACTGTTTGGATTTTAATGTTTCTAAAATTATTAAAATCGATTTTGATGCTAAATAATTTCAAAATCAAATTATCATAAAACCGTGTGCAACTTACTCGATAGAGAGATACACCAAGTTTGTAAAATAAGAGTGTGTAAAAAATTATTAGAATAAAAAAATCAAACCGGATTTAATTGAATGGTTTTGTGAACGAATGATTCATTTCTAATTTTAAAAATTAAAGCATTGTTGATAATGAGTTAGGATTGAAAACAATCTAATTGAACAAAATTGAAGCATGATAATTTAATATACATTATATTTTAATACAAATATTTGGATTTTATAAATATAAAATATAACTTACTACACATCACAAAACAAATATATAAAAAGTTTAAAATATACATTATTTTCGGTTTTATTCGGATTTACTAATTCAAACAATTTGGTTCGATTGTAATATTTTTAAAATCATTAAAATTGTTTTTATTCTAACTTATCTCAAATTCAAAACAGCATGGACGTGGGCAACTTACTGGAGAGGGGGGCAAAATGGTCAGAAAATGAATATGAAAAGCAGCCTAGGTTGTAGTTGGTCAGGACCTCAGATACCGTCAACTTCGGTCTAGCTGGCACTAAAAACAGCCTGTACACAGCTGTAGTCCAACACTGATAGTTGTGCAACTAACGCTTCTCTCTCTCCCTTCGTACACGTAAATATAGAGAGAGAAAGAGAGAGAGTTTTTCAGTTACCAAGAACAAGAGAACCATTACCCCCTCTCCTTCCCTCCACAGTTCAGATACGAGTTGAAGAGAGAGAAGATAATAGTAGTGTTGGTGGAGCCAGCGCGCAATGCGCACCAGTTCATCCATTCCCGGCGCACGCATCCCAATGGATTCTTCTTCATCTGTTACAGCCTGTTCTAACCTAAACAGATTAATTCCCACTCTCTCTCATCAACACTCTCCTACGCGCACTTTATCTTTCTCTCTCTAAACCATAGCATAGCATAAACTGGTTTGATTTTGTTCACAGCAATCTGATTTGACTCGTCTCGCCTGAAGCGCACCAAATGGATCCGTGTCCTTTCGTGCGCCTCACCGTAGGCAATCTCGCCATGAAGATTCCGGTGGCGGCGAAGCCTGCTCGCTCCGTCGTTCACCCGTCGTCATCGCCGTGCTTCTGCAAGATCAAGTTAAGTAACTTCCCTATCCAAACAGCGGTGATTCCCTACATTCCGGCGGAGAACCAGTTCTCCGACAGTCAGGTGCAGAACCTAGCGGCGAGCTTCCACTTGAGCAAGTCCGATCTGGACAAACTCGCCGGAAAATCTCTCTTCGCTGGAAAACTCAACCTGAAAATCTCGATCTACACTGGCCGTAGAGGCACCACTTGCGGAGTGAACTCTGGAAGGCTGTTGGGGAAAGTATCGGTGCCGTTGGAACTGGCGGGAACAGAGTCTAGGGCTTGTGTGTTTCACAATGGTTGGATAAGTGTGGGCAAAGACGCTGCTAAGAATTCGAGTACTCAGTTCCACTTGAATGTGAAGGCAGAGCCTGATCCGAGGTTCGTGTTTCAGTTCGACGGCGAGCCGGAGTGCAGTCCTCAGGTGTTTCAGATCAAAGGCAACATTCGTCAACCGGTGTTCACTTGCAAGTTTAGTTTCAGAAGTACCGGCGACCGGAATCAGCGATCCAGGTCAGTTCCTGCACTCAAATTAGGGTTTACTGGTTATTTGAATTTTTTTCGTGTTTGATTCCTGTTTCCTTTTGATTTTCCCTCGAATCAAACATATCTTACAAGATATGATGCTTTACATTGTTTTACGACAACAATTTGAATGTTCGAACTTTTAAACCATTAAAGCTTCCTCAAACTGTACGGCAAAGTTCAACTTGGTATCAAGTAACATAGACACTTTAACTTTACTCTTATGAACACAATTTTAAAGTGAAAAAGTAGCTCTGTATTTTTCTAATCCAAACTGTTCTATATTTTTGATTGTTAAGTGAAATCTTCAAACCTACTAAAGTCAATTTGATTCAGTCCCTTTCTCAAATTAGGGTTTCATTATTCGATAAAATTTGTAAAGAACAAATAGTTAGATTCTTTTATCGCTTTGATTCACTATGTTCTTTGCTTGTTAATTAATTCTCCTTATGTTTTGCAGATCGTTGCATTATGATCAAAGCAGTTCAAGGAGCTGGTTGAGTTCGTTCGGAAGCGAGAGAGAACGACCAGGAAAGGAACGAAAGGGATGGTCGATCACGGTCCACGACCTCTCCGGTTCACCAGTCGCCGCCGCGTCAATGGTGACGCCGTTCGTCGCCTCCCCCGGTTCAGACCGGGTCAGCCGGTCCAACCCGGGCTCCTGGCTCATCCTCCGCCCCGGAGACGGCACGTGGAAGCCGTGGGGCCGTCTCGAGGCGTGGCGTGAGCGCGGTGCTGCCGACGGTCTCGGCTACCGCTTTGAGCTCATCCAGGACTCCGCCGCCGCCGGCATTGTCCTTGCCGAGTCGACCCTCAGCTCCAAAAAAGGCGGCAAATTCGTCATCGATCTCGGGGCAAACCAATCCTCCAATGGAAGGTCGACACCTGGGAATTCCACATCACCGGCGTGTAGTCCGAGAAGTAGCGGAGACTTTGGCTACGGGTTATGGCCTTATTGCATGTACAGAGGATTCGTGATGTCGGGGAGCGTGGAAGGTGAGGGGAGGAAGTGTAGTAAACCGACGGTGGAGGTTAGCGTGCAGCACGTGAGCTGCACGGAGGATGCAGGGGCGTTCGTGGCATTATCAGCAGCCATTGATTTGAGCATGGACGCTTGCAAGCTTTTCTCTCAAAAGCTTCGGAAAGAGCTTTGCCCGACCCAGGATTCACTCAACTGAACCGAACCGAATCATTTGGATAGGACCGGATCTCTTTGGTCATCTTTTGTATTTACCAACTTCTTTTTTAATTTTTTTGTGGGAGTGTTTTTTTATTTTCGATGGAAATTTCTTTTTTTAATTTCCGTCCCTTTGTGAGCTGGTTACTACTAACACGGTGAGAAGAGTGAGAGGAGGGGTTTAGACAGGGCACGCTTTGTTTTTTTGAGTCGTGTGGCTTCTGTAATTTTTACCATTTTCTTAGTGGGGGATGGTTTTGGTGATCATCATCCTATCATGTGTAGTCTCAACTGACTTGAGTTCTCTTTAATTAGAAGGATTGTTGAGTTGAATTCCCTAATGTTTAATTAATTAATTTATTTTTATTTTTATTATCCTACAATAAACCATCAAATTGGTGTTGAATTGCAAATTGATATATACTTCCTACAAATGTGTACTCTCTCCTCCTCAGTATGGTTGTTTCTCTCTCCTCCCCGGTTTGTTTTTTATTTTTTTTTGGGTTGTCTTGAAATATTTGTTCATTTATGAAGTTTAAATAATACATTCCATATCTGTTTATAAAATATTTTTAAAATTTAAAATTTTAAAATTTGATTATAAAATTTGAAAAAATAATTTTGTAATTTTTAAAAGAGATGATGTAATAATTACATATATTTTTAAAAGTTCTACTCTCAAAAAGAAAAATCTAATAAAAAGAAAAATCTAGTATAAGGCGGAGAAAATATTATCATGGTTTTGTTGGTGTTCTCTCTTGCTTTTAGGCCAAGTGTTTGTGTTCTCACTTGCTTTTAGGCCAAAGTTACTTATATGGGTTTTATTTTAAAAAAGCATACGATGAAGTACATTATTAAATGTTTATTTATAACTAAATTACAGAATATATAATAATACTACTAGTAGAATTGTTGGGGGGATTGGGCCAATTGGCAAAGGTATGTGCGTGCACGCAAGGGTTGAAAACTGGCGTTTTGTTGATAATTTATTGAGGGTACGATGAGATGATTGTGGATGATAGCTGTAATGAATTCGACAGTTTATGTGCGCCCATGTGGTGTGAGATGGGTTTGGTTTGGATTAGTTGCGTAGAATCATCATCCGTTAGCTCTTGGAACCCTAATAATTAATTTATACTTATTTGAGAATGATTTGACGTTTTTCGGGGTGACGCCATTTGTAGATGCTGAATATATGGTTGGAAAATCACAAATTTTTGCGAATAAAAATATTGAATCACCTGACTGGTCACAAGTAGGTACTCCGTATATTGGTAAAGAATAGATAAAAAAATATTTAAGTAAAAATAAGCATGATGCAAATAAATTGTTCTTTTATGGGCTACCTTAGCTGGAGTTCCATTCAATTTGTTTACTTATTAATTTTCCTTAAAACAACTGGCGGGAATGGGCACGAACTAGGTTTTAGAGGCTCGTGCGTGCGTGGGACCAAGTGTCAGTAGTTTTTAATAAACCAAAACCATCTTGTATTCAAAACAACATTAATCCCCAAAAAAAATAAATTAATACTAATAAATGTTAAAGGTGACATATTATGATACGATCACAGTATGAAATAAGTGTGTTTGGAATAACTTTAAATGGATTGACACTATTAATTTGTTTATTAAATTTTATCGGATTAAGATTAAGGGATTTAACCTATATAATCTTTAACTCAACATGTTATAATCTTTAATATGACATATGTAATATGTTATTTGTTTAAATCCAATTACTATAGACATTCAAGTCATTTCAACGTAAATCTTTATTACCATTTATGATTTTTTTTTTTTTTTTTTTTTTTTTTTTTTCTGATTTTGAATATTTGGGTTAATTGTGACATATTTCATTTGAATAAATAGCCTAAATACGTTAACCCGTTTAATAAACAGGTCTGGTTAGTGTTGATGATTCTTAACACGATTATTAAATAGGTTGGGTTTGATTTTATCTGTTTAGTAGAATATCCTTATATCGAATACGATATGATTATGACGCACGAATACGAATTGTCACCCCTAACAAATACCATAGTTAATGTTAAAAAATTATTACCCCGTCTCTAATCCCAGTCGATTATCAATTGCTACCTAAACAAAAAAATGAAATAAAATTAACGCAACACTTACATATTTACTAGTTAAGCGACCGCGAGGATTGACCCAGGATTAATGTTCCCGTGAGCATGTAACAATTTTCTGTCAAAGTTTAGAGTTGCATAGGACCAGAGCAGACCTAATGGGTCTGGGTCTGGAATGGGTTGACGGGTTATATTGATATTTGTCATTCTCACAAACTTTTTAATTGAAAGCGGAGTGAGGGTTTTGAAAGTGGAGGGTCACTTTCAGGGTCACGTAGATGTCCCAAGCAAGAGAACATAAGCGAATGGCAATAGGGGCTTGTGCCTCCTATGAGTCCTACTGTGAAGGCTAACAAAAATGGACCAGGCAAGGGAACGGTTTTACATGCTCCAAATAAGTAATGACCAATGTAACCCAGAGCAACTACTACTGTTTGTTCACGAGCCCAGTACTGGTGAAATTCAATTTAATGCCCATTTCTGTCATAAATACCACTTTGTAATAATTTTGTCGGCGCCAAAAGAGGGACTCAGACTGGCAGTCCCACACCCAATTCTCTCACCGGTGTTCATAGTTTGCAATTAACTTCACCATGTATTTCTATGTAATTTTGATGGATAGATGTACCTATTTTTACTTTATGAGAAATTATCATATGGTCTCAAATTAAAAATTACACAAATCGAGTATAGGAGTAGGAGTGAATGCCAAAGCTGGAGTGCAAAAGCTAAATCATAAATAATAAAAATTATGTGATTTAACTAAGTCCCAACTTTTCATTATACGACGCATTAGCAAAAACACTTAATAAAGTTTACACATCTCTAATGTGTTAAGAGATGTGTCACATGGTCATTAGCCTATAATCATGTAATAATTTATTCTTATAATTGTATTCACACAATAAAACAATATTATTGTTGATTTATGCGATCATATTAAAGTAAAGACAATAGTAAAATTGTGTTGTATGAGTGTATATGTGGATGTTAAATGAGTGTTGAGTATTGATTGTACACTATGAATTCAACGTTTTACATTCTATAGTAGAGGATTGAGATCCTTATAAAATATGTGAAAAAATATAGATTTAGCTCCATATAGTGAGGTTAAACTAACCTACAGATTGAGAGTCTATCCTATGGCAATCACTTTGTATAAATGACATTAAACATTAAATTTGCATCTAAAAACTTGACAGCACATGATATCATGATATATAAAATGTACTGTGATTTTATTTTTTCATAAAAAAGAAAACGAAAAACAATATTTTTTGAAAAAGTGAATTATTACAATAATTTTACTCCATCTTATGTTGGCCCATCTAGCGTGGCAAACTTTGTATTTTCCTTGAATCCTAAAAATAAGCAACTCACACAAGTCACAAGCAAACGAGAATCCAACTGTTTCATAGGTTGTTGCCGTAAAGCATCCTATGCAAACGCTGCTTACAATCACATGTCATTTTGAAATCTTCCGTACACAACCTAAATTTTAATATACAAAGCAATTAGTATAAAATAAAATGAGGACTGTTAATTATAATTGCATTTTTAATTGGTTATAATTTTTAGAATTTCGCGTATGGAATATTTAAAATATAAATTTATAAAACAAAAATACCCTTTTAATTACTATTTATTATCTCCTAAGTTGATCCGTATACATATATAAACACGTGTATATATATGTCAATGACATTATCATTATGGATTATAATTATTTTCTTTCTATTTTTTTTTTTATGATTCTTTTATTTCTTTTTTTAATTGACTTTTAGTTATATACTGAGTGTGTATATAATTACTATATATATATATATATATCATTTAATCTTTGCTACTCTCTATTATGAATCCACATATATATATATATTCACACACACACATAAAAAGAAAATTTGTTGTTTGTATATATAGATACTTAATCTCAATATATACACAAAAAGGAAAATTATTGTTTGTATATATAAATACCTGATCTATATATACATGTAGGTGTATAGTGTCAGGGGAGAAAAAAAAACGTAAAAAAAGAATTTAGGTGTTTATATATATATATATATATATATATATATATGCAGGCAGTCCATGTAAGGAAAGAGAAGAAATAATTAAAATGATAATTTTATCTTATAAATTTAATTTTATATGTCTCATAATGATAAAAGACATTTTTTTTTTTTTTAGGTAAGTAGATAAAAGACATTTACCTAACTAGCGTGTAATTTTAAAAATTCTAACAAATTAAGGGTGCCACGGACAAGGAGAATTGTACCAGCCATTAGCACTCCTCATAAAATATTTTAAAATTGTGACAACTATTATTATAGTAAATGAAATGTAAGAACAACTGCACCATCACATGTGAAAACTGTCCACCTTAGGGTAGAGTAGGATAATGAGCAACTTTCCAAAGCATGCACATGCTCGTCTCCATCTCCCCCAACCACTTTTTTTTTTTTTTTTTTTTTTTTAATGAAATTTTAGACCAATTAGGGATCCCTATTTATTCTATTTGTGTACATTTTGATTATTTGATTTTTTATTCTTTAATAATTATGCAGTTTGAGAGTGAATTTAAAATAAGGAAAAGTGCATAAAACCTCCTTGGACTATTGACAAATTACAATTAACCCCCTAAATTACAAAAGAACCCCTTTAAATTATGAATTTGTTGCAACTCAGTCAATTCCGGCAACTGACATAGTCGGAAAAATAAAAATCTAATTTACCCTTATTAAGTTTTGACCAAAAGTTGACGTTTTCCTCTCAGAACTCAAATTGCAGAGAGTAGAGGCGGCACGATTGATCTCACACAGTGAAGTGAAATGGTTTTACAAACCCAATCTCTCACAACCCCATCTTCTACCTTCAGTCCTCCCCACTGCCTACTTCTCTAAACCATCACTTTCTCTCTTTAAACCCACCATCACAACCCAATTCAACCCTTCAAAGCCATACCCATTTCAAAGCCACACCCATCGACGGCCTAGCCCATCTTCTCACCACCGTCCGTCCTCTCTGCCGTCACTCCATCAAAGCCGAGCTCGCCGTCGCTCATAGCCGAGCTTCTCCTTGCCCGCCGGTGCTGCGACGCACGGGGTTTCTGGCTCTCGCCGAAGCTAGCGATCGGGAAGGTTGGAGGTGGAAACGGCGGGTTTGAAACTCTGAGACACCATGTTTGACCTAAGAGATTGGAGGAGGAGACAGATCACCATGGATGGCGACGATTCCAGAGTCA